CAAAAAAAAAAAAAGGGTAATTACTTCAGTTTTACATTTATCATCTCCATCCTTTATTTGCAATAAAAAAAAAATCAGATGAGCTGTTAACGTGTATTCTTGCAGAATGTGACTCATTAATGTCAATAAACAAATACAGTAGAACCTCTATAAGTTGGCCACCTGAGCAACTGTAACAAACAGTCAATGTATGATCAACATAAGAAACTAGGCCTACTGTACTAATACATACCTGTGGTGCATGCCTGGTCTATGAAAATTAGGTCAACTGAAGGAAGTAGTCAATGCAGGATCAACTATGGAGGTTTCAACTTTGGTACTTAAATGATTTCAAGATTTGAGGTAGAAAAATGTCATTACCTTAAAATGATAACATAAATAACCACTACTGCAAATGAAAAGATTAAAATGGGTAAGAGACATATCTTTTGGAAAATTTGCCCCTAAACTTGAGTTCCCTTTTGTGTCTTTTTTCTGCTATAATTCACAACTAGAAACCAAGCCAGCAAATGGAAACTATTTTCATGTTCATTTTTATCTTTCGCATTTATGAACTCACCTAAATGCTTATAATGGTGATTGTGAGCTTGTAATAAAACCTTTACTCGATCCAATGGGGCAACTGTTGTTTTGGCACAGCATCCAGCAATACCTAAAACGTTTTTAAAAAGTCAGTTAGAAATTACATACTATTTCTTTCCAGATGGAAATCATTTTTTGTTACGCCAGCAAACTTCTGATCTCTGATTTGGTCTCCATGACTAGAAATGCCCAACAGATGATTGGTCCCCATCCCCTGTAACTTAATAATTGATATATCAGCCTTCAAAGTAAGTTTTAGATGTGTAAATTCACCCCTAGTACCAGATGAACACTAAGAATCTTGCTAAATGTGGTTACAGAAAAATGCTCTTGAAAGTATTACCCAAATGTAAGACTATGCTTAAAATAACCATCTCTTCTTCCAGATGACTTTTTCATTGAAACAACCAAGTTGTACCCATGAAATTACTTATTCATTTATTCAAAAACATATTTGGTCCCTACCCTTCCCTGGGCAGATGTATAGACAAAAGAAGAATAATACATAGACATTAACGTAGGTCAGCAGGCCAGGCATGGTGGCTCATGCCTACAATCCCAACACTTGGAATGCT